AGGGATCTGACCAAATACTTAGAGCGGCTGTTTAGATGATGATCGGTCAATTTTCCGAGGGATAAAATCAACCAAAACCTAAAGTAACCAATTTTTTATTTTATTGCGTAAAAATTCACAAGAAAAAAACAGTTGGAAAATATGCAAGACTTATTAAGAGGAGTTGTTGATCTATAATCCGTAAAAAGGGGTGCATATATCACGAAATATTGCCCAGGCTCAGAATATAGAACCGCCCAAAGTGTGCTTTTCGTGGTAGTTGTGTAGGGTATCATATGGTCGGCCCCGTCCCACTGCTCCGCTCACTGTTTTTTTTTTTTTTTTTGGTGGGGGGGGGGGGTCTTTAGACACTTTTTCCAACCAAATCTGCTGTAAATTGGTATTATGCGTTCACGTTGGTTATGAGATCTGCGTACGAAAAATTATAAATATTGGCTCTTGTTTCGGGGTAGCAACGGTACTTTCCAATATTCGATATTTTAGGGCACGTGTTCTACCTAATTGGTTGTAAATAGTTGTTTCGGTTTGTGGTACGGTAGTTAAACTACCAACTAAAAATATCTATATTGGCCCACCTTTTAGGGAAGCCCCCATATAACGCTACACCCCAATGATCGGTCTTTTGTGGAGCTTGAGCATGTGTGCTCTTGTGAAGCTTGGACATTTGCTTCAACCATATTATCTGTAATTTAATATTTAGGGTTCTCATTGAGTAGAAAATCGCCCTACCAAAAATGATCAATAGTGACCCAAATTTCCGGGTAGCCCCCATAAAATTGTACACCAATTTTGTGTAAAATTCTCCTACCAAAAATTAGCTATGTAGGTTTACGGTTTAGTATAGCTTCCATAGGACGGTACCATCCCATTTTCGGTATTTTGAAGAGTTTAGCCGCATTTTTTCAACCAACGAGGCTGTATAACTTGAACAACCTAGTACCACATAACATCATAACATAGACCCTATATAAATGTCCCGATCGACCAAAGGAATTTTAAATGCACCTCACGTGGTGTATGGTATAAAAAGTCCGCCTGGCCGAATTTGATGACATTTCTACTTATTATAGAAGAATATAGGTCCTGCTATTACAAAATTATCATAGAAGACCATGTTAGAAATTTTTATCATAACAGATGTTCTCATAGAAGGTCATAACGTAATTGCCGAAGTTCTTATAATAGAACACCAGAATCTCCATCTCCTTAACTTTCAAAGTTGCACAATAAACAGTTGTATACCATGGAAGATAATATTGTAGATTATATGGAAAAATGTCCGCCACTACAAGGAAAATCTGCACTGAAAACGGGATATTCTGGTGTGATGACAAATGTCTGAACCTTGACACGGTTAAATTAATTTCGCAAATGCAATTTCGCAACAAAATTCGATATAAATACAACATATCAAGTAACGACCTTTGAAAATGTGGTTTCAATCTGGATTTTATTTTCATTGCTCATCTAAATAAGAATAAATAAGAACATTACGTGCATGATCTTTCGCTCTAAAAAGGCATAAACTCCTTACTTGGTGAAGAATAGAAGGTCGAAATGTGGCAGGTTTTCTATAAATATAATGTCTGAAGACCTATCGCAAATCTTCTATAAATGGAATACCCTACCTGAGCCTTGTTTAGAAACTCCAATCCAAAAAAATATCTTTCACCGAACTTAAATAGACACTATACTTTTCACGGATGCAAATTTTCATATATAATTTAGGTATAGAATACTATGTTGTATTTTAATTATTCCCCTGATTTATTACTATAGGGAAACCGATAAATATGGTATTTACCTTAAAAATATTCAAAAATCGCAAGGTGTCTTTATATTAGCGATATTCCGAAAGAGGAACATATAATGTATTTTTTGCCAACTGCGGTCCCTAAAGACTGTCAGCGTTTTTCCACTTGGTTTAGGAAATGGATCAATATGAATATTTCTAGATGTTGCTATGACAACAACAAATATACCCTCCATTTTTTTGGTGAAGGTAGAATCCAAGGGACCACAATAAAATCTCTGAAAAATCGTGACCAATCGACAATGTAGGAGAAGGATCTCTATCATGGTACAACAATTTAATTCTCCCAGGACCCTTTGTCAAGAACTCATTATTTAATTAGTATGTCTCTGCAATCGTGTACTTCTAAAAATAGGAGGTTTGTCCGATTTTTAACCACAAAATTATAACAAAACAAGTGAATAAGCGTTAAGTTTGGCCGGGCCGAACTTTGGATACCCTCCACCATAGATATACTGACAGGTACTAGAAATGAAAATATAGGGAACATACCAAAAAGTGGACCTATACCGACATTTCTATGTAAACTATAATACAAATTTCAGAAATTTTTAATGGATAATTATACCCTCAGCCTTATGGCTAAGGAGGGTGAGAAAATTTATATTTCATCCAAACTTTGCCAATCTTTTCATTTCTTCCAAACTTAGTTCAAATTCGAAGATGGGGAATATCGGTCCACTCCTTCTGGTACCTCCCACACAGGGGCTAGATTTAAATACGGGTTATAGTTCATATATAGTTCGTTATCGAACCTTACGTTACGTTTCTCTCGATATCCTCCACAGGTGATATAGTTACAACAGAGTCTTAGAACCAAACCCAAAAGCGGAACAAATTCCATAACTATTTTAATATAAAAAAGGGGGTTAAATGGGGACTACCCCAAAAAGGGGCTGCATGTTAATAATTTTTTGTAGGGAAATTTTTTACCATAAACGACTACAAAATACAAAATTTCAGCGAATTCGGTTGAAAAACGTGCTCAAGAACCTAAAAATAGCGAAAATTGGGGGTACCCTTATATGGGGGCTACCAGAAAAATTGGACCTATATTTATAATTTTTGGTGGAGATATTTGGAACTCAATAAGAACCAAATGTACCAAATTTCAGCGAATTCGGTTGAAAAACGCGCTCAAGAACCCCAAAATACCGACATTTGGGGGGTACCCTTGTATGGGGGCTACCAGAAAAATTGGACCTATATTTATAATTTTTGATGGAGATATTTGGAACCCAATAAGAACCAAATGTGCCATATTTCAGCGAATTCGCTTGACAAACTCGCTCAAGAACCCCAAAATACCGACATTTGGGGGTACCCTTATATGGGGACTACCAGAAAAAATGGACCTATGTTTATAATTTTTAGTGGAGAGATTTGCTACCCAATAAGAACTCAAAGTACTAAATTACAGCCAATTCGGGTGAAAACTACGATTAAAACCCCCAAAATACTGAAAATTAGAGGGTACCGTTATATGGGGGCTACCAGAAAAAATGGACCTATATGCATAATTTTTTGTAGAGAAATTGAGAACCCAATAGCGACTCAATATACCAAATTTCAGCGAATTCGGTTGAAAAACGCGCTCAAGAACCCCAAAATACGGAAAATTTGGGGGTACCCTTATATGGGAGCTATGCCTAAACGTCGAACTTGACCTGCCTGCAGACAAAATTTTGACAATCTATCTCAATTCGTTTAGACGCTAGAGTGATTACAACAGACAGACAGACAGACGGACAGACGGACATGCTTAGATCGTCATAGAATTTTACGCTGATCAAGAATATATATACTTTATATGGTCGGAAATGATTATTTCGATGCGTTACAAACGGAAAAACAAAACTAATATACCCTCCATACTATGGTGGAGGGTATAAAAATATTCCATAAAGTCCTCAGTCTCTTTAAACATCATCTTAACGTTTTTCTTTTCCATTTAATTTTCAATTTCCCCCAAAATCAATTCGCCTCCACTTGATTTGTGCAAATAACTATTCCATCAATTTGATGGAACTTCAACTCGTTATTTGCTCTCTGTGGACGGAGGAAAAAATTATAAAACTTCAAGTCACTTGCAATATTGTTTCTTTCATTGTTAACATCTTTTTGAAAGTAGCCACTAACACCAATAAAGAAACAAAAAAGAGAAAGATGAAACATTTACAAGTTGTTGTAACTCTGTTTCTGGTTAGTCATTGCCTTTCTTGTTCGGATTTGTTCAATGTTCATTGACTTTGTCCACGTCATTCGTTCGTTTCATTTTCAAAAGTTTTGTAGGCAACAAAAAAAAGTTATTAACAAAATTCTTAAAGTAATTGTAATTGGCCATTCCCTCAAAGCACAACCTAAGTGTCTTCTTCTTCGCATACACAATACTGATAATGAATTTTCAAAGTTATTGGCAAATATTTGAAGTTAGTTTTCGGCACTTTCATTCTAACTGTGATTTAAATGAAGAGATTCCTCTGTGGGTATTATTATTTTTTTTTTTTTTAATTGGTCAGATTTCAAAAATGGACCGATAATAAAAACATTTTTTCAAGGACTTTGGAAGGGATGGATTTTATTTTTCTACGATCAAAAAAGGTGTGAATTAAAAAAAAAATAAATAAAGAAATTATTCATTTTAATCCTTATTTGGCAACCCTTCCATCCAACTACGAAAATGTCTGAGCAAAGTGACTCTGTCCTTTTGTGCCATGTAATCGTTTTACAATCAGACGAATTTTGTTGAAATATTTTTGTTCGATTACATTCGATGGCTCACGATTGCAGTCAAACTATTTCTTTCGAATTCCGAAATTCTCCTTTCCATGGTGGTGGTGGAAGGATGAATGATTTCATTTTATTATTTGAGTATAATTGGAAAGTATGACTTGTCGCCTTGAATTTTAAATCGCTGCGCTAACTTTTTGTCTAGAATTACAAACGAAGAAAGAAAGCCGATGATGATGATTGTGGGAATATAATTTCTTTAATTGGTAATTCAAGGCCATGACAAAATTCTGGAGAAGTTTTCCAATTAATTTTGTCAATATTTGGAATACAAATTTAAATGAATTTAATATGGGATGTGGGAGATGGTATTTTCATATGAGATATACAAATGGAAAATGTTTATATTAAAAAATATGCCGAATGGAATGTGATAGAAATGTGAATTCCAACTTACCTGGAATCCTGACCACTTTCTCCTGATTCTTGAACTCGCATAGCATATAAATCTTGGGAGAAGAGCTGAAAAAGAGAGAAACATTTTTAAAGAATATTTTTTCAGGGTTTATACAAGGCGTGGATTTATTAAAGAATATATTTTTCGGGGTCTATACAAGGCGTGCATTTATTAAAGAATACTTTTTCCAGGGTCTATACAAGGCGTGGGTTTATTAAAGAATATTTTTTCGGGATCTATACAAGGCGTGGATTTATTAAAGAATATTTTTTTAAGGACCAATACAAGGCGTGGGTTTATTAAAGAATATTTTTCAGGTCCTATATAAGGCGTGGATTTATTAAAGAATATTTTTTTCGGGGTCTATACAAGGCGTGGATTTATTAAAGAATATTTTTTCAAGGTCTATACAAGGCGTGGATTTATTAAAGAATATTATTCAAGGGCCAACTGAGGCGTGGATTTATTAAAGAATATTTTTCAAGGTCTATACAAGGCGTGGATTTATTAAAGAATATATGCTTGGGGTCTATACAAGGCGTGGATTTATTAAAGAATATTTTTTCGGGGTCTATACAAGGCGTGGATTTATTAAAGAATATTTTTTCAAGGTCTATACAAGGCGTGGATTTTTTAAAGAATATTTTTTCAAGGTCTATACAAGGCGTGGATTTTTTAAAGAATATTTTTTCAAGGTCTATACAAGGCGTGGATTTATTAAAGAATATTTTTTCAAGGTCTATACAAGGCGTGGATTTATTAAAGAATATATGTTTGGGGTCTATACAAGGCGTGGATTTATTAAAGAATATTTTTTCGGGGTCTATACAAGGCGTGGATTTTTTAAAGAATATTTTTTCGGGGTCTATACAAGGCGTGGATTTTTTAAAGAATATTTTTTTCGGGGTCTATACAAGGCGTGGATTTATTAAAGAATATTTTTTCAGGTCTATACAAGGCGTGGATTTATTAAAGAATATTTTTCAAGGTCTATACAGGGCGTGGATTTATTAACGAATATTTTTTCAGGTCTATACAGGGCGTGGATTTATTAAAGAATATTTTTACAAGAATATTTTTCTCTATACAAGGCGTGGATTTATTAAAGAATATTTTTCAAGTGGATTTATTAAAGAATATTTTTCAAGGGCCAACTGAGGCGTGGATTTATTAAAGAATATTTTTCAAGGGCCAACTGAGGCGTGGATTTATTAAAGAATATTTTTCAAGGTCCAACTGAGGCGTGGATTTATTAAAGAATATTTTTCAAGGGCCAACTGAGGCGTGGATTTATTAAAGAATATTTTTCAAGGGCCAACTGAGGCGTGGATTTATTAAAGAATATTTTTCAAGGTCCAACTGAGGCGTGGATTTATTAAAGAATATTTTTCAAGGGCCAACTGAGGCGTGGATTTATTAAAGAATTTTTTTCAAGGGCCATACAAGGCGTGGATTTATTAAAGAATACTTTTTTCAAGGGCCATACAAGGCGTGGATTTATTAAAGGCGTGGATTTATTAAAGAATATTTTTCAAGGGCCAACTGAGGCGTGGATTTATTAAAGAATATTTTTCAAGGTCTATCCAAGGCGTGGATTTTTTAAAGAATATTTTTTCAAGGTCTATCCAAGGCGTGGATTTTTTAAAGAATATTTTTTTCAAGGGCTATACAAGGCGTGGATTTATTAAAGGTTAATTTTTCAAGGGTCTATACAAGGCGTGGATTTATTAAAGAATATTTTTTCAAGGTCTATACAAGGCGTGGATTTATTAAAGAATATTTTTTCAAGGTCTATACAAGGCGTGGATTTATTAAAGAATATTTTTTCAAGGTCTATACAAGGCGTGGATTTATTAAAGAATATTTTTCGGAACCATCAACAAGGCGTGGATTTATTAAAGAATATTTTTCAAGGGCCAACTGAGGCGTGGATTTATTAAAGAATATTTTTTCAAGGGTCTATACAAGGCGTGGATTTATTAAAGAATATTTTTTCAAGGGTCTATACAAGGCGTGGATTTATTAAAGAATATTTTTTCAAGGTCTATACAAGGCGTGGATTTTTTAAAGAATATTTTTTCAAGGTCTATACAAGGCGTGGATTTTTTAAAGAATATTTTTTCAAGGTCTATACAAGGCGTGGATTTTTTAAAGAATATTTTTTCAAGGTCTATACAAGGCGTGGATTTTTTAAAGAATATTTTTTCAAGGTCTATACAAGGCGTGGATTTTTTAAATAATATTTTTTCGGGGTCCATACAAGGCGTGGATTTTTTAAAGAATATTTTTTCGGGGTCTATACAAGGCGTGGATTTTTTAAAGAATATTTTTTCGGGGTCTTTACAAGGCGTGTTTTTTTTAAAGAATATTTTTTTCGGGGTCTATACAAGGCGTGGATTTTTTAAAGAATATTTTTTCGGGGTCTATACAAGGCGTGGATTTTTTAAAGAATAATTTTATTAAAGAATATTTTTTCAAGGCCTACCCAAGGCCTATCCATGAATATTTTATTAAAGAATATTTTTTCAAGGTCTATACAAGGCGTGGATTTATTAAAGAATATTTTTTCAAGGTCTATACAAGGCGTGGATTTATTAAATAATATTTTTCAGGGTCTATACAAGGCGTGGATTTATTAAAGAATATTTTTTTCAAGGTCTATACAAGGCGTGGATTTATTAAAGAATATTTTTTCAAGGTCTATACAAGGCGTGGATTTATTAAAGAATATTTTTTCAAGGTCTATACAAGGCGTGGATTTATTAAAGAATACTTTTTCAACGTCTATACAAGGCGTGGATTTATTAAATAATATTTTTTTCGGGGTCTATACAAGGCGTGGATTTATTAAAGAATACTTTTTCAACGTCTATACAAGGCGTGGATTTATTAAATAATATTTTTTTCGGGGTCTATACAAGGCGTGGATTTATTAAAGAATATTTTTTCGGGGACTATACAAGGCGTGGATTTTTTAAAGAATATTTTTTCGGGGACTATACAAGGCGTGGATTTTTTAAAGAATATTTTTTCGGGGACTATACAAGGCGTGGATTTTTTAAAGAATATTTTTTCGGGGACTATACAAGGCGTGGATTTTTTAAAGAATATTTTTTCGGGGACTATACAAGGCGTGGATTTATTAAAGAATATTTTTTCGGGGACTATACAAGGCGTGGATTTATTAAAGAATATTTTTTCGGGGACTATACAAGGCGTGGATTTATTAAAGAATATTTTTTCGGGGACTATACAAGGCGTGGATTTATTAAAGAATATTTTTTCGGGGACTATACAAGGCGTGGATTTATTAAAGAATATTTTTTCGGGGACTATACAAGGCGTGGATTTATTAAAGAATATTTTTTCGGGGACTATACAAGGCGTGGATTTATTAAAGAATATTTTTTCGGGGACTATACAAGGCGTGGATTTATTAAAGAATATTTTTTCGGGGACTATACAAGGCGTGGATTTATTAAAGAATATTTTTTCGGGGACTATACAAGGCGTGGATTTATTAAAGAATATTTTTTTCGGGGACTATACAAGGCGTGGATTTATTAAAGAATATTTTTTCGGGGACTATACAAGGCGTGGATTTATTAAAGAATATTTTTTCGGGGACTATACAAGGCGTGGATTTATTAAAGAATATTTTTTCGGGAACATTATTAAAGAATTTTTCAAAGAACTTTCATAGGTGTAGGATTTTTAAAGAATAGTTTTTCTTTCTTACTATTCCTCTTAGTCCCCTTAGAGACCAAATGCCCTCCCGCACTTATACAATAATAATAATTGAAATTCAATTAACACCAATCAATCAAACAAACTTACCTCTCCATTTTCCGGTGGGTCACCATTGCCAAATGTGGAGGCCACCACAATTAGCAGAGCCTCGTGTTCAATCGATGAAACGTCGTAATCAGCCATGCAATAGAGCTGAAATGATAAATACGTTCGCACATTAAGTTTTTTTCTTTTTGTGTGTATCATTAGTCATTTAATTAATGCTGGTAACCATATTACAATACCCTCAAAGAGGGTTTAGAGGGCTACATTTAACACTGCCCACAACTAATCTCAAATAAAATAATGAAAATGGCAGCAACATTATCCAAGGAGTTAAGAAAACGATTAACGTTGATGTTAATAGGTTAATGTGATTGACTGTTACAGCAACAACTGCTAAGTACGTATTTAGGGGTTAACGTGATTGCTGACCATTGACCTTCAATGGTGAAACTTAGAAATGTGTTTTATTTATCGAACATCGTCTGAAGTTCAATAATAACTCGAAAGCTAATGCTAATGCAAATAATATATCGATACATGCTTCGACATAACTTGCAAGGTTTGACGGATTTTATTTCACTGGAAATGTTTCCATGTACGTTTCCAGTATTTCGAAATAACGTCCATATAAGCGTCATTCATTTTATATATTTTAAAGATCAACTGAAATGGTTGTAATTTGTAATTTCGGATTCTCAGAGGATAAAATATATCCTCTCTTAAAACTGTTAATATTGACCCATGTTTTGAAATAGTCTGCACATGTCAAAGGGATAAGGACAAAAGAAGGTGGTTGTAATTTGTTACTTCGGTATCTTCGGGTATAAAACATCACCTCGAAGAAACGTCTCTATATTGATCCATATTTTGAAATAATCCCCAAACATGATCTCACTGCTTTTGAGATTATTTAAAGGGTATATTCATAGCAATGCCAATGATTGGAAATTTAGGATGATGGAACTATTAGACTTTGAATAGATCCATAAACCTGACAGCAATATATGAAGTTATGCCATTTTTAGCAGTAAATGTACTATTCGATTTTTTTTATTCCTCATCGTGGATGGTAGGAAAAATTCACCTCGATCGTACTTAATTATGTTTATTTCATGTCATACCCCTTAAGAATCTTCTATATGGAGTTATGTGACATATTTTGAATATCCTCCTTTTATATGAGACTGCAAAAAGGCAGTGGGCCTTATAATTATTTTATAATTATAAGACCCACGGAATAATCAAAAATTCCTATTTTGAGGCCTCTTAACAGTATGTAGTGTAAGATTGCCTCTTCTATATGGAGAATAGCTATATATTGTAAATAATTGGCGTAGGGTATAAAGTGGACTAGCGGGCGACGTAACCTATTCTAAAACAAACAGGTTAAAAAGATACTGAAGCAGTGATTACTGCTGTGATTTTTTCTGCTCAAATGTCCAGGTTCAAAAACAATAAAAAATGCTTCAAAGTGTAAAGTTTGTGTTCATAGTGAAGATGGGGTTAGGTGTTTAGGCTGGCAATTAACTCGTGCCCAATACGAACTGAGGTGACTACACCACCCAAATCTCATTTGTGCCAAAACATCCCGGGTTGGTCGCGGTAGATGTTGCTGCTATTGGGACCGGGAGTTCTCAGGGAATTGTATTAATCCTGTATATCAGTGTGAATGTAATTCAATCCTTTTTGATAGTCGTTTTGATCTAAAGGCTATCTTTTGTACTTCTCTCTCCAGATCATGAAGACCCTTCCTGACATGCCTGTGTGGTGAATACCTATACATGAGGTGATGTTTCCTGATTGGTGATCTTGTAACACTCAAACATATATTACATCGACAACATCTTGTTGGGTTGGCACACACAAGATTTATACAGGCTATATAATTTGACCCCTAGAATCTTTGGATAATTATTGGCCGGAATTATGAACCCATCGTTCTGAACATTCAGGGGTAGTCGCATATCCGCTCGCTGTGTTACACAGTGTGTCCATTGATATAGTGGCAGATTTTTTCGTATTTCTCGCCTGGAAAAACTCTGTTATGTTCTTGAGTAAGTTTTAAAACTTATCGCAGATGCCACACATTATTGGCCCAGACGCCAGACCCGTCTGCGTCTGGGCAAATGGTTCGATGTAACGATTTGACTCAGAAGAACAATATTCCAACCAAGGACTGTCGTCTCAAACAAAAAAATAAAAATATCGTTTGGTTCGACAGGCCAAACTCTTTATAACCTCCTGTGGCTTTTAAACTAGTTGCAGAATTTTCCATATTCCTCGCTTGGAAAACTCTGCTATGTTCATAAGATAGGTTTTCCATCTGTCGCTGATGTCATCAATTTGGGCATAGACGACATGATGTAATAATCACCTCCGTATTAAATGATCTAAATAACGTCGGGTGGGCTTCGAATTCGCGAAAGTTGGAGGTAAGGCAATTTCGCAGAAATCATTCCTCCTTGACCTTGAAGAACAATTTTCCGACTATGGGGTTTCAACCCAGCAAATAGAAGTAAAAACGTCGGTAGGTTCGTTGGGCCGAACTCTTTATTCTGTGGCCTTTAACTTAGTGATCGACTTTTCCATATTCCTCGCCTGGAAAAACTCTGCTACGTCCTTGAGATATTTGTTCAACATGTGGCAGATGCCAACAATTTTTTGGCCAGACGCCATTATCGTATAACCGAATTGACTCGGAAGAATAATTTTCTTACCAAGGGCTGCCGTCCCAGCAAGTACAAGTAAAAACGTCGTATGGTTCGCAGGTCCTCTTATGGTCTCATTTTTTCCCTATTTTTCGACCATATCCATGAGACAGATACCATAAGTTATTGGCCCAGACTCCATTATCGTAAAATCACTTGTGTACGTAATGATCTCAGTCCGGTGGGCGTGGAATTCCAGAGGTTAAACAGTTTCGGAGTTATCAAAATTTAATGCCGCCGCTGCCGGTTCTATGTACCGGATTGACTCGGAAGAACAATTTTCCGACCAAGAGTTGTCGCCCCAGCAAATACACAAACAGTCGTTAGTCTTTATAGCCCCTACCATGAAGTTAGTATTCAAAATACCTAAAATAGTTCGGAATGTTTACTGGCCCCTTTGTTATAGTAATTGATTGGTAGGAATATTTGAAACCGAAATGAGGATTTAATATATCAAACTATAACCAATTCGATTGAAAAACCTATCCAAAAATCCCCAAAATACCGAATAATGGGGTCTGCATATCTCGAAACTTAGATAAATACCAATGGCTTTTGGTAGGAGGATTGCCCACTTTACCCATGAGAATCCAACATATTAACTAAAGCCATTTTCTTGTAGTGGGACTTCTCAAAAAATGGACCAACATTGACAAATTTCTACCCAATGAGAACCAGAATTACGGGCAATTGAAGAATGTGTACAAAATCCCCAAAATATCGATATACCTAAACGTAGATCACATTATCTCTACCAAACATCCTATGTGCAAAATTTCGAAGCTTTATCTATTTTAACTGACGTATATGGAACCAGGAAATGTAAGTAGTAAAGTCGGACTGGGCCGACTATATGATACTCTCACCAATTTGGATGCAAACCAAATCAAGCAAACCTGCCAGTGATTAATTTATATTAACTTCAGTACGTTGTGTCAATCGGCCTAGCTATGGATCTTTAGTGCACAATTTACTTAAAACCGGACGAAAATATATATAGGAGGTGAACACATCATTCTATACTTAATTTTCTACGCTATGCACAAAATTCTTGCTCATCAAAAGATTTGCATGGACTTTGGTGCAACATTTACCTAAAATCGGGCGAAACTATATATCGGAGCTATATCTAAATCTGAACCGATTTTCACGAAACTTAGCACACGCCATTCTAGACTAAATTCAATACGTTATGCCAAAATTCGTGCAACTCAAATGATTTTCAGGGACTTTGGTGCACCATTTACCTAAAATCGGTCGAAACTATATATGGGAGCTATATCTAAATCTGAACGATTTCCACGAAACTTAGCACACATCATCCTAGACTTAATTAAGTACGCCATACCAAAGTTCGTGCAAATCGATGGATATATAGGGACTTTGGTACACCATTTACCTGAAATCGAACGAAAATATATATGTGAGCTATATCTAAATCTGAACCGATTTTTCCCAATTTCAATAGGGTTCGTCCTTGGGCCAAAAAAGTGAGCTGTGACAAATTTCATCCAAATCGGATCATAAATGCGACCTGTACTTTGTTTACCATTTAACATCAACAGACGGACGGGCGGACATGCATAAATCGACTCAGAAAGTGATTCTATGCATATTCTCAAAAGGAACCATGGGTCTATCTCAATTCCTTTTGCCTGTTACAAAGACATAATACCCTGTACCACAGTGTGGTGAAGGGTATAAAATGGCGAAGTTATAAAATTGATTTTAATTTAAGCTATTTTGCAACATTTTATTAAGGCCTCTTAAAAGTTTGCCCCGTTTTTCTTCGCATAAAGAACTGTCCTCTCGAAATTATGCCTAAACCGAATATATTTCAATGCAACAGTAAATATTGCCCTTGATCTACCTTCCAATGTGCATTTAATACATTTATTTTCATTAAGTATCCTTATAAAGACCCTGAATTTCAACATCTTTAATTTTTCTAATAAATTTCCATCTACACATCATACTAATTTGAAATATGCCCCCTCAAAAAGCCTGGCACAAACAAAGCCAAATCCAATATTTCTACACAAATATAAGTATTTCATAACAAAGCCAATTTATATATTTTTGGACGACAATACTCAACAGGACATCGTACACCCTCTCCCCCTCTTTCCCTCCATGAAAATATATTACAGATAATAATAACCATGTCTGACATAAGTCAATTTATTAATTTGAATCCCCTGAAGACCTGCTGAGTCAACGATACAAATCTTACTAAATATATCTTTTGGAAAACTGGACAAACTTTTTTGTTGTTGTTGTTGCTGTTCGTTTTTGGCTTTTATGTTTAACAGCAACAATAAGTTCGGATTCTACTTCACAGCCTCCCCAGTCCCCGCTCTTTAATATCTGGTATCACAAATCACACAAAATGTGTGACAATAATAGAAGCCAACAACATATTGCCATTCATCATCCAGAAGTGTTTGTTGGCAAATTTAATGGGGGAATGGGGAGGAGAGACTTTTTCCCACTTGGTGTCGAGACAATTGTTTATAATTTGATGTTAGATATGTACCATATGTCATCAGGGGGGTCTATGAGTTTATGAGCTTAAGGGGAGGAGGGAAGGTAGATTTTAGATAGTGATGAAGAATATTTTTTTATTATTTGATAATTACTGTGGGAATGTTAAAAAAAACTCTGCGACATGACAAGGGCTGATGTGCATACATCAGGGCGTATGAAAAATAGACAGTCACTTAACAGCAAATAAATCATACGCCACCATGATCTACTGAGTGGCAAAAATTTGACTATACAATGCATTGGAGAAATAATATTTTTTGCCTGATTGACTTTATCGATTATGAATTGAGTTTTATTTGGAAAACATTCAGATTCAGAGGTTCAAAAAAAAACATTTAATTCAATAGCCCTTAATAATATTTCCTCGTGATTGCCCATGCTTTTTATATGACCAATAATTCAACAGGTTTTTTTTTTTTTTAAATCCCAAAGTGTTTGTTTTTTTTTCACTCACCTGAGCATTGAATGCATGCCCCAATAATTCGCACAATTGCTTGGCATACTGTTCCGATTTTCCTGTTTCGGTTGCATACAGAACGGTTGCTTTGATACGTTTCGATAAAGCACGTCCAAATAGTTTCGATGTAAATTTCACAGCCCTGAAACAGAAATAAAGAGGAATAAATAAAATAAATACTTTAACAAAAATATTTACAACAGTAAAAAATAGAATTCTTAAAGAATATTTTTCTAAGGCCGTTCAAGGCACGGATTTTTTAAAGAATATTTTTCTAAGCGTCAGCAAAGCGTGGATGTTTTAAAGAATAATATTTCTAAAGTCATCTAAGGCGTAGATTTATTAAATAATATTTTTCTAAGGCCATTCCAGGGCGTAGCTTTTCTAAAGAATATTTTTCTCAGGCCATTTCAAGGCGTAGATTTTCTAAGGAATATTTTTCTAAGGCCATTTAAGGAGTAGATTTTCTAAAGAATATTTTTCTAAGGCCAGCCAAGGCGTGGATTTTTCAAAGAATATTTTTCTAAGCCTCAGCAAGGAGTGGATTTTTTAAAGAATATTTTTCTAAGGACCCACCAAGGCGTGGACTTTTCAAGAATATTTTTCTAAGGACCCACCAAGGCTTGGACTTTTCAAGAATATTTTTCTAAGGACCCACCACGGCGTGGACTTTTTCGTGAATATCTATTCAAGGACCCAACACGGCGTGGACTTTTCAAGAATATCTATTCAAGGACACTCACTGTGCATGTAAATATTCTTTAAAAAATCTACGCCTAAGGGAGTCCTTGAAAAAATATTCTTAAAACAAATCTACGCCTTAGGGAGCCCTTGAAAAAATATTCATTAACACATCTACGCATTAGGGAGTCCTTGAAAAAATATTCATTAACACATCTACGCATTAGGGAGTCCTTGAAGACATGTTCTTTAAAAAATCCACTACTTCGCGAGTCCTTGACAAAATATTCTTTAAAAAATCCACGCCTATTGGAGGTCCTTGACAAAATATTCCTTTACAAAAAATAACGGGGTGGCGTAGGGGATGATAGATACCAAGCAACGGCTCTGATTGCCTTTAACATGGCGTAGTCCAGGCTTATCTTGGTCCCTCTTTCATCTCAATTGTGGACACTGACCTCCCCGCGGTGCCACTTGGGGAGCTATTCTCATCACCCGATTAAATAGTGAGCTAATATGTGCCGCGAGTCCATTTTGAAAAGCTTCTGGTATCCAATAGTGGCGGCGAAGAAGATACCTCAGAACCACTAAGAGATGACGGTATAGAGTGTATACCACCTAGCCAATATGAAGTCAGAATCAATCAATCGGCTGTAGCAGCAGGTACCAATGGACTACAATCCGAACTATTCAAGACTGGTGATCAGATGCTGGTAAAGAGCATGTACCAGCTGATTAGTACAATTTGGCTAGAGGGATGCATGCCCAATGATTGGAAACTCAGCATCCTGTGTCCCGTGAGACAAGACGATATGTGCCAATTATAGAGGAATAAGCTTCCTTCCCTTCGCATATAAAGTGCTATCCAGCGTGCTGTGTGAACGACTGTTACCAATGGTCAATGACATTATTGGACCATACAAATGCGGCTTCAGACCTGGCAAGTCCACCATTGACCAGATTTTCACTCTGCGCCAAATTCTGAAAAAAACCCACGAAAAACACATCGGCACATTCCAAATATTCGTCGACTATAAAGCCGCATTCCTGCAAAATTAATTCGGCTATGCAGGATAACTTTAACTTGCACAAGATCATACTACCTGTGCTATTATATGGATCTGAAGCATGGGTACTTACGCAAGCAGATGGAACAGCTCTTGGAGTATTTGAGAGAAAAATTCTCCGAAAGATCTATGGGCCCATCTATGTTGACGGTGAATATCGCCGTCGAATGAATCATGAGTTGTACCAGCTATTCTAGACGTATTGAGCTTTGAGAATGATGATGAGAAAAGATGCCCCAGCCCAGAAGCCATATAAAAGCGAACTAGCTGATGGTTCACGCAAAAGAAAAAAATTTCTAAGGCGTGGCCATATATATATATATATATTCAAGGACACAGGGCGTGGACTTTTCAAGTATATATATTCAAGGACTCTCACTGGGAGTGGATTTTTGAAAAAATTATTCTTTAAAAAATCCACGCCTGTTGAAGGTCCTTAAAAATTATTCTTTAAAAAATCTACGCCTGTTGAAGGTCCTTAAAAATTATTGTTTAAAAAATCTACGCCTGTTGAAGGTCCTTAAAAATTATTGTTTAAAAAACCTACGCCTGTTGAAGGTCCTTAAAAATTATTTTTTAAAAATCCACGCCTGTTAAAGCTCCTTAAAATGATACTTTAAAAAATCCACGACTGTTGAAGGTCCTTAAGAATTATTCTTTAAAAAATCCACGACTGTTGAAGGTCCTTAAAAAATATTCTTTAAAAAATCCACGCCTGTTGAAGGTCCTGGTAAAAATTTTCTTTAAAAAATCCACGCCTGTTGAAGGTCCTGGAAAAAATTTTCTTTAAAAAATCCACGCCTGTTGAAGGTCCTTAAAAATTATTCTAATGGTTCCCCATTGTATAGGAGACTTGCAGTCTTTACTAATTAGTATTAGTTTAATTAATTTCTGTGTTAAACTAACTTCCCCTTGACAAAAAATAATTTTTAATTGAATTTAAAGATTCTGCTATGATAACAAGGACATTTGGCCAAATGTCCCTGTGAATAGTGGAAATAAAGAAAAACGGTCCAACATTACAACAAAGACTGTGGCTATTTATTTCCACGACATGGTTTACATCAAGTCACTTTTTAATCTGCCTTCGCCCACCACAAACACAGATTTACAACTAATTTTCATGAAATCGTCCACAATTCCCCGGTCACCTATTTCCACACTTTCCCTATCAGTTTAACTCCCTGTGGCACCAACAAAATACCAACAACCAAAATATCTGTCATCGTCATCATCATCACAGCGAGCATTTATGATGGCATTTCCTCAGTGTTTCAGGTTTGGTTTTTTTTGTTGTTACTCCTGCTGCTGCTGTTGTTGTCGACACTGACGACGAGGTCGATGTTTGCTGTTGACTTTTGTGTCCGCCATTTAGAGGGTAAAAATAAATAGCAAAGCAAAGGAGAAAAAACAAAACGAAAATCCGCCAACAAAACCCGACAGCCGAAAAATAAAAATGAACTACCCTAAGCTGAACTTTGCTTTGTTGTTGCAAAACAATTACAAGAACATCAACAACATGTCATTTGCAAACCTCCAAACAGCAGCAGCAACAACAACAGACGATGTAACAACAGTCGTCCCAGCAGCAGTTTAACAGAGTCGCAATGATAAGGGACACACACACAGATATACAGCCACAAACTCACATCTACACACTGCCACAGAGTCCTGCCAATTCAATGAAACACTGTGGCGTATATGGTTTATTTTTTCGCTCTCCACTCGTGTCTAAACAAAAACACCGTCTGTCGTCATTCGTGTATGACGTTCATGTGAACGACACAAGTGACAGCATGTTGTGCCGCCAATTCATTGTTGTTGTGTTGCTTTGTTGCCTCTCTCGAAACACTCATCTAAAATAGGACATTGTTTTTATTTTTATGGCCTAGTAAACAGTTAAGTGGTTCGAGTAGGGACAAATGTCCTGCAGGGCAGTAATGGAGCTAATTTTAAACAGAAATGTTTATTGAGGCCATATTTTTTAGTCAATGAAATTTAATTTTTTATGCGTTGTTTTTTAAAGAACATTTTTTCAAAGACTCACAAATGCGTGGATTTTTTAAAGGATATTTTTTCAAGGTCCTACCAAAGGCGTGGATTTATTAAAGAATATTTTTTCAAGGACTCCCTAAGGCGTGGATTTATTAAAGAATATTTTTTCGAAGACTCCCTAAGGCGAGGATTTATTAAAGAATATTTTTTCAAGGACTCCCTAAGGCGTGGATTTATTAAAGAATATTTTTTCAAGGACTCCCTAAGGCGTGGATTTATTAAAGAATATTTTTTCAAGGACTATCTGAGGCGTGGATTTATTAAAGAATATTTTTTCAAGGAGGCAACTGAGGCGTGGATTTATTAAAGAATATTTTTTCAAGGACTCAACTGAGGCGTGGATTTATTAAAGAATATTTTTCCAAGGACTCACAAAGGCTGAGGAATATTTTTAAGGACCTTCAACAGGCGTGGATTTTCTTAAAGAATATTTTTTCAAGGGCCACGTGGGGCGTGGATTTATTAAAGAATATTTTTAAAGGGCCAACTGAGGCGTGGATTGTTTAAAGAATATTTTTAAGGACCTTCAACAGGCGTGGATTGTTTAAAGAATATTTTTAAGGACCTTCAACAGGCGTGGATTGTTTAAAGAATATTTTTAAGGACCTTCAACAGGCGTGGATTGTTTAAAGAATATTTTTAAGGACCTTCACTACAAGGCGTGGATTTTTTAAAGAATATTTTTAGGGCGTGGATTGTTTAAAGAATATTTTTAAGGACCTTCAACAGGCGTGAGAATATTTTTAAGCCTTCACAGGCGTGGATTTATTAAAGAATATTTTTTCAAGGGCCAACTGAGGCGTGGATTTATTAAAGAATATTTTTAAAGGGCCAACTGAGGCGTGGATTTATTAAAGAATATTTTTAAAGGGCCAACTGAGGCGTGGATTTATTAAAGAATATTTTTAAGGACCTCCACTAGGCGTGGATATTTTAAGGAATATTTTTAGGGACTTTCAATAGGCGTGAATTGTTTAAAGTATATTTTTAAGGACCTTCAACAGGCGTATTTTTAAAGGGACCTTCAACAGGCGTGGATTGTTTAAAGAATATTTTTAAGGACCTTCAACAGGCGTGAGGCGTGGATTTAACAGGCGTTAAAGAATATTTTTAAGGACCTTCAACTGAGGCGTGGATTGTTTAAAGAATATTTTTAAGGACCTTCAACAGGCGTGGATTGTTTAAAGAATGGATTTATTTAAAGAATATTTTTCAAGGACCTTCAACTGAGGCGTGGATTTATTAAAGAATATTTTTCAAGGACCTTCAACTGAGGCGTGGATTTATTAAAGAATATTTTTCCTTCAAGGGCCAACTGGAGGCGTGGATTTATTAAAGA